ACATACCTAGAGTTTGTTTTGTGAAGCACGTCAATTCTCTCCTGGGGAGCGTCTTCGTGAGCCTCTTATGGTTTCAGGACAAATCCTATGATGTTCCGATTCAATGCTCACCGATGATCTGAGCCATGGGGCAAGTTTGTTTTCCGAAGAACCTTTTTGAACATTTCGAGAGCATATGTTTGAACATTTAGAGTGCATATGAACATATATTTACGAAAGGTCGCCTCCGAGGGGATAAATCACCATGTCGAACATTGCATTTTTGTTCCTGCCTCTCGCGTTCTCTTCTCTTCCCGCTGTCCTACCTTTCGTGTCTCCCTCCTCTCAAGTGGGGTTTTCCGGTCTTATAATTTTGCATTGCAATCAAGCCAGTCTGAAGCGCCTGAAGGTGGAAGCATACACAGCAGTCAACCTCAGCACGACTCTGGCCTGCCAACGCGGATGAGCAACACATAGCATGGCACCAGCAAAGGATGACAGCACAAGCCATACAAACCGAGAAGCCACCAGACAGATGTTTTTCATGTTGCACATGCATGTTACTTTTCGTTCATCGTTGCGATAAAAAACGGTGCTCGCTACCGGCTGCGCGCTTTCGCACAATGTTTGTTAATTTGTACTTGTACTTGTACACATTTTTGGTGGCGGTGTTGTATTTCTCAATGCTTTGGCCTGGGGTTCAGCTTAAATCTATATTGGAAATCGAACCAGCGAGGCTTTTGTTTGCTTCACAGCCGTAGAAATGGACACGACCGAAACTTTTTTGTCACTCCATTATCAGTTGCGCGCAGAACGCAGCGCCGAACGACTACGATAAATTTTGCTTTCTTTGACCAGAACTATAGATACATTCTGGATGATTCAGGTTAACCATTGGGGAATAGCACAGAACGAGACAAGTCTTACAAGTCACGCCGATGGTGTAAACATTTTGTTTCATCCCAGAAGAGTTTGTGTTTCAAGATCAAGCAACTGGGGTCCTGCAGTCAGTTGCGTTTAGGCCTCTGGTGATGCGCGCATTTCCACTTCTTGAACAAGCAGGACAGAACCGAATAAGAGAGTTCAGTGCCAGGTGCTTAGGCATCTCAACCTACTCGTTTCTTTGCATCCTCGTGCGGTTTCTGTACAAACGTGGTTGCAAAGTGGGTTTTGAGGCCCAGGGACTATCAAACATGTCTTGGGCGTTCTCGTCAGCAACCATGCTCTCTGCCCCATTTGCCGGTAAGCTTGGGGAGCAGGCAGCCTCACATGTTTACACACTTTTGATCACATTTCAATAATCATACAGGATGTTTTTACGCACGTAACATGCACCCAGTCAGGCAGTTGCAGCTGAATTTGGTGTGCCCCAAACGATGTTTGTCCTTTCGTCCTAGTTTTGCGCAGCTTTCGCCTTAGTTTTAAAAAAACGCTGGACCTGTTGGATTGTCGGATGGGAGGTGTTGAAACGTGTCGGCGAATTTGCTTTCCAAGAAGTCGACTGGCTTAGCTAAGTTTCTTTGATACGCCGTTTGCCAGCAGTCGCAAGTCAAGGCATCCAACACCTGCTGGGCCTTTGCTGCATCTCAGCGTGCGGAGGCGACTATCTTCATTGCCCTTTCGAACAGGCCTATTGGGCTGCGCTCTAGTGGTTTGTTTCACCGTTGCAAACTTCTTCGTTTCTTCTTTAGGCTGCAACGATTGCTGCAGATGTCCGGGAAGGAAACGGAGAGAGCTGAGCTCGAGGCACAAAGGAACGCACAACGAGCTGGAAGCGCCTCGCTTCCCGAGTGAGTTGCGCTAGGTCCGTGCATTTGCCTGGGCATTCAACACGGCCTCGTTCCATGACAACAAACTGGAATCGCCAGCTTCCAAGTCACTGGATTATAGAACTGTATATATGATTCTTTGTTTCCGTGTGTCACAGGGAATCTTTAAATTTTCAGCAGGGGGACGGGACACCGCTGATACTGCCCGTCCAACGAAGGGGGTATCAGTTGGTGCTGATACAGTGGGGGACGCTCCACTGCGTACCTGCGTTTTACCATTCACTTCCTACTGGGTTTTTACTAGAACAAGATCCTGCACTCGGCAGTCACGCACTGCGTGGCTTTCAGCCTTGTTCCGTTTTAAGACTGTGTCAAATTTGGAGGCGATGAATCTTAGAAGTTTTCATGTTCCTCATCCCTGGCACTCTTAGGCTTTCATACCTAGGTGGGCGTGTGGCATGTGGCGTTCAATTTCTGTACGTAACATGGGTGAGCCCGAGGAGTGCCCGCGTGGCCTTGCTAAGCAAGGGTTTGTCTATGTTTCCTTCGCCTGGAAACGGAGGTGTCCAGCGGACGGAGTAGGCTTGCGCCAAAGTTTCGCTAAGACTGACGGACTATTGAAACCGAGTAGGCAGCCTCCAGGCACGCCAAGAGGTGTCCGCAGCGGACAGCAGTGGGCATATTTCCATGAGGTGGTCGCAGCGACCCAAGCTTGTTCAAGACCACCAGAGCGGGGCCTGTCGCGACCTAAGTGCACATACAGCGTGCGCATACCAAACCAGGCTAGGTTTGCCTAGGTTCTCTTGATGAGGTTCGGCTTCGTTGTTTTCCGGCCCTTCCATGTAGTTCCACTTTCATCCTTTCCCCCTGCATACACTCTTTTTCCTTTTTCGGTTCATGTCTAACTTTCTGTCTTCATGTCTTGGCGCCTCATACCCTTTTCTCTCTTGCGCACACATCGGCCACGCGCACTTATACTTGAAACTTGAAACCCAGGTTTGAAGTCGTCCAGGCTGTCATAAGGAGGCTTGGTTCATCGGTTGTCCCTGGTCGTTCGGTTTCTTTCCGTGGCCACACACGCACTCGGTCTGTCTTGTCCTCCTTTCATGTTTTCATCCTTTCGTCTGTTTTGCACGCGCGCACACGCACATCTTAGCTTTACGGTTGCCTCCTTTGCGGGAGGCGCCCTTGGAGTCACAGGGAATCTTTCATGTTTTTGGCAGGGGGACGGGACGCCGCTGATACTGCCTGTCGAACGAAGTGGGTATCAGTTGGCGCTGATACAGTGGGGGACGCTCCACTGCGTACCTGCGTTTTACCATCCACTTCCTACAGCTCATAAAACAAATCGTTGCGCTATCTACTATCAGATTGATGCAACCAAAATCGTTTGCACTGCGGCCCTACAAGGGCTTGAGCGCACAAGCAAAATTACAGAAACAAGTTTGCTCCTATTGCTGCTGTACTGATACAGTTACAGATCCTTCAGTGCCCCGGCTCGCAAGCACCAGCGAAGCATGAGAACTTTGACTTTTGCAGCTGCACGTTGTACGTGAGGTGTATCAAGACCAGGCTGTTGCGCATCGGACAGGTGCAATCGTGCTGTTGAGCATATGGACTCAAAAGGTTTCAACGGTGCTGTGGCAGACGCGCGCACGCGCGCACCCTGCAAGGTTGTTGACCAGTCCATGCCAATGCAGCCTCCCTTGCGAGAGGCGGGAGGAGGAGAGTCTTCTGAACAGATAGTTAACAAAGGGAAAAACACACAGTACTGTATATAATTGCATATATATATATATGTGTGTGTGTGTGCGTTAAATCGTGTTTCTATTCAAAAAAGCATGGATGGACGGATGGTTGGATGGATGTGTGAGGAGCCATAAGCCATAAGCATTAACGGCCCGAAGTGCTGGTATGTTCCTGATGATCCGTCTAAACAAACGTGCACTTCGCGCTCACGTTCATTTAATGTGTTGTTCTTCAACAGCTAGTTTTGGACAGACAGGCAGGGCTAGACCGACCCGCCGGACCAGCCATTCTTTTGGATCTTTCAGACCGGCTTGTGGTTCGAAAGCCGCCTAAAGCTGAGTGGAGAAGTTCCAAAAGCTATATTATAGTTTTACAGATGGAAGTTTTGGACATGCAACATGTTCGTGAAGACTATAGCGAGTGTATACAAGAGGTTGTTCCACAGTTCCGTGGTTTTCACTGTCCAAGTCCAAGGTGCGGCTGGGCGCCATGCTTAGCAAATCTCAGCGAAGTGAGCTGCGACATTCACGTTTTTGTTCCCTATGCTTCAACATTACAGCACAGGAGCTTTGCCAAGGAAACCCACAAGGCAGATCGACCAATTGATTTCAAGGCTGACGAGTACTCCTCGGTACTGCGCCATTTCTGGGTTCCGGTGTGACTCTTTCTTTAGCACGCCAGCATTTGCTAGGCTGCCCCAGCATTGTCAGACTTTCTGTCAACGTTTTCGCCTCAGTCTTGGCTTCTGTTTGAAGCTGAGTCAGTGAACAATTTGATTCGCGACAAAGCCCAGCGTGCTTGCTAGGTATCAAACGTCGCCAATCTTTCAAGACAAGAATCACCAGTTTGGGATGACACTTGGCTAACTTGACGTGTGTAAACATATACCTACTCGAGAGATGATGTGATAGCAGTGTGCGTTTTAACTGCTCGCCCCGAAGATGGTGCTGGCAGTTGTTTGCAAAAATTACACTCAGTACATATATACTGTAAACTGTGTAGAATTTGCAGTATAGCTCATAGGTGTGATTGTACAGTACCACTGTTACTTTCTCACCACTGCGCACCCCTTTCTATACAGGAATAGATTGGCACGGTAGCGGAGCAAGGATAAGGGCGACCCCCTTTGAGCTCCAGAGAAAAGTGGGACCCCGGGAGCGTTTCGAGCCATAGATTTGTGGTCTTTGGAACCCAAACTGCTGAACTGGTGACAAACTGTTGTGAGCTGCGCTCTGTACCCCGTACATCGTGTCAGTGGGACAATATAGTGTTCGGGAACGATGGATGAGATAAGAGAAATCTTTGAAGTCGTAGCAAAGAGCACGCAAGCAACAGCATCAGCACGAGGACGAGGACGAGGACGA